GAAATAAACATTTGAAATATATGAGTTTGTATGCAATGTATGAATATAATATACAAGTTTCACTTTTTAAATGGAATTACTGAAATAAATCTACTTTTTCATGATATTCTAATTTTATGACCAGCACCTGTACTAGGCCAGAAAAAGAAGATAAAATTACACATTTAGATGCACAGAATTACAGGGTGAATCGAAAGGTTCAGGGCACCCTTTTATTTCAGAAAGGAAAAGAAAAACAAAATATCTGAATACTCTGGAAAGTAATGGGTGAAGGAGTGTATCTTTTATGGACATGTCCAGAACATGGGTGCTATCTTAAAAGTCACCATGGATCAAAGTCAAATTTTCCAATAGGAAGATGGTCATGTAAAACACATGAAATGTCTCAGAAATGGATTGTTGCAATCAGATTTATACTATCTGTTGTGGATTAAAGGTTTAACACAGAAAGTTGCAACAACTGGGTACATTGGGCCTCATGAAGAGCCGTTCATACGAACAGGTTTGTTCTTAAGTTGTGCGTACGAGTGATTTAGGAGAATTTGTGGCATTCACCAATTTTCAATTAATGCTGTTGCATAACACTACAATGTTAATATGAAGATCTCAAAATAAAAAACAACTTAAATTATGCTTTAATTGAAGTTTGGAGACATTTTAAAAGGCTTTTTTTTTCAGAACCGCATCAGACACTTGCGACGGTTGGGAGGGGGGAGACGGGTGGGGTAGTGGTGCTGAAAACTATGTAACACAGGTGTTTACACAAATTAAAAATATTTGACCAAATTAAAACCGGAGCAGGACTAGAGAAAGATGAATATGATTTGGATTTTTATTTCTGTGACTTTATACGACCCACAGGAGACACAACATTAACAGCAGTCGTCATTTCATTCCTCAGCTTTAGCAGGTCTGACGCTGCTAAAAATGACAGATTTTTTTTTCTGGATCTCTGAGAGCAGGACTTCAATCTCTGAACTCGTAAAGTTCTTCTTTTTTACTTTGCGATGTCATTTATGAATGGACACTTCCTGGTAAGTGGGGCAGAAAACGTTACCTTATATGGTGTTTTTGGGGTGGTAGATTATGCTCATCACCTCTCCTTGTACACAAGCACCTGATACACAAGCACCTGATACACATTCATCAGTTTACGCTGCTCATTTACACACTTTTCCTGAAGATAGAAGAGTTTGTTGAATCTGACGTGACATGTTCGTACGAAACCTTCGTATGAACAAAAGTAAGAAGGATAAGAACACGAACATGTTCTTGCATGAGGTCCAATGCCTGTGATGCACAGTAGGGTTGTAAATCAGCAGCTTTATCATGATACAATATTATATCAATTTGTTTGGATTATATTGATGGTCTCTCAATATCACCAAGTCTGTCATGATATGATTTTGATTCAGTTCAATRCACAAGTCTGCAACTGATATGATATAGATTCACATTGGGCATATGACGCTATGAATCAATATTTTTGTTTTTCCTTGATGTATTGAAATCCATCATTTAATCGATATATCGATGTGGATTGATGTTTAGTTACAACCCTAATAAAGTTATTTGACATGCTCATTGTGCTGTCCCTGGTGCTGAACACAGACACAACTGGGACAATCACAAAATGTTTCTAACTTTCTGTGTTGGTAACTTCTGAACCACAAGAGATATTGCACATCTGATTGCACCAATTCTGAGACAATTCAGGGGTCGGATTTATAAAACTTGCGTACGCACAATTTGAGCCCAGAAACTTGCGTATGCCAC